GGCGGGGGCTGCCCTTCCCCTACCACAATGCCCTCCATCCTAGCCAGTCCAGGCTCTCCAGGTCCAGTCCGCCCTTCTCTCTGCTTCTCCAGCAGCCCCTGTGCATCTGTCTCTCTCACAGCATTCCCATCCACAGGGATCTGGTAGTCCCTGACCCTGAATCTACCTGAGGAAGCTGATATTAGTTAGTGTGGTCTATTGTTAGCAACACGACCATCCCTCAGACACACAGGGCTGCCAGCACGAGCAGGCAGGCATGTGCGTTCCCTGGAGAAGGGCTCTGGAACAATCCGTTCCCATGCCCTTGCATCCAGAGTTCCTTCGAGGGACTGTGGGAGGTCAGGGCCAGGCTCGACTTTCCCGCCCTCCGAGGACGCTCTTCCTTCTCCCTCCTAGCTCACGAGGCTGAGTAGCAAGAGGGCAAGCCTGCCAGCAGGCCCAGCGGAGAGGCTTGTAACCAGACCAGCGGGAAGTGGGGGCCCTGGTAGCGGGCACACTGCAGCGTCTCAGGATCCGCGCACCTGGTACAGGCGCCTCCTCGGCGCGCACTCCGCCCCGCGCCGGCTGATTACCCCAACCCTCCTCGCTGGCTTGTACTGCCCCTGCGCCCGTTCTCCCAGAACTCTGGTTCCCCTCGGGGACACTGCCGCCCCGCGTCTCCACCGAAGCGCCTACTGTGTGCACCAGGAAGTGGGCAGCTGCGCTCACTTGGCGTTCTCTTCCCAGAGACCTCTCTTGCGGGCAAGGCGTCCTCCTTTGAGCCGGCTCCACCCCATTGAAATGGCCTCTAAATTCCTCTGCTGTTTCGAGACCCCACTAGGTGCAGTCTGCTCCTCCAGGAAGATTAAACAGGCTGAGAAAAGCTAGCTGTCATCAGAGACCAATGCCGAGGCCCTGTGAGTTCTCTCCAGAGACTCCCACTTGACCCTTAGGGGTTCAGGTGGCGACGCAGCACAGGGACTCTCCAGGTCGCTTTAACCTCTTCCAAGCGCAGTCTCCAAGTGTGTGTCTTAAATACTGTGCATTTTACACATACAAGAAATAAATCAACAAGCGGGGGGAAGGTAAGGTGGAAGTCAACAGAAGTAAGGAATCGGGTATGAGTCATGAGCTATTACATAACCTGCAGAAAATCTACCCTGAGCTGACGAGGCTCATATCCCTGACTGTGCTCCCGTAAGGACACTGCGAGAGGGCAGGGAGAGCATAGGCAAGGCCTTGGACCACGCAGAGAGTGAAGCAGGGGTGGGAGGAGGCAGAGCAGTTCTGCATGACACTTGTGCGTGCCCAGAACTGGTGTCAGGACCCGGGTCCTCCAATATAGCCTTGAGGGAGATTTGGGGCGGGGGGGGGGGAAGGAGAACTCAGGAGTTTTGAAGTGGTATGTGCTAGAGATAAAAACTAGCAACCTCCAGCTCTGCTGCTCAAAGGCTCGACACAGTCCTAAAGCACTCTGGGTCCTGCAAAAGCCTTCCCCAGTAAAAGGCACTGGGCCCCCTGGGAGAGATGGTAACTTCCGGGCTGGGACAGAGAATGTCAGGAGGAGCCTAGAAACTAAAGTACTGGAAAACGATGGGACTATGTCCAAGGTGCAGGCCAGAAAGGTGAGGAGTTAGCTGCCAGATGAAAGGTTTCACTAAAATAAATAATAAAAGTAACAAATCTAGCCCCTTGGGTGAAACATGAATCCGCGGGCCAATACTGGCACTTTAAAAAATGTTATAAAACAGGGGAGCCTAGGTGGCTCAGTCATTTGAGCATCTGACTCTTGGCTTCGGCTCAGGTCATCATCTGTGATTTGTGGGTTCGAGCCCTGCATTGGGCTCTGTGCTGACAGTGTGGAGCCTGCTTGGGTTTGTCTGTCTCCCTCTCTCTCGGCCCCTCTCTTCTGCTCTCTCTCTCTTTCTCTCTCGAACTCGGAATAAATAAATCTTTAAAAAACTTAAAAAGTAAAAACAAAACAAAACAAAACGTGTATGGGGTGCCTGGGTGGCTCAGTCGGTTGAACGTCCAACTTTGGCTCAGGTCATGATCTCGCGGTCCGTGAGTTCGAGCCCCGTGTTGGGCTCTGTGCTGACAGCTCAGAGCCTGGAGCCCACTTCAGTTTCTGTGTCTCCCCCTCTCTCTGCCCCTCCCCTGCTCATGCTCTGTCTCTCTCGGTCTCAAAAATAAATAAAAACATTAAAAAAAACATTTTTTAAATGTTGTAAAAGAGAACATTTTTCTTCGGAGAACACCAACTAATAAATGTGCAAGGAATGACAAACCAAAAATCGCCATTTTGCAAACATCCTGGTAATAACTGATTTCAAGAAATAATCATCTCAATGAATGTTAAAACCATAGATGAAACATTTTGTTAAAAATGTTTTAATGTTTGGGGATGGGCTAAATGAATAAGAGGCATTAAGGAATCTACTCCTGAAATCATGGTTTCACTATATGCTAACTAATTGGGATGTAAATTTTAAAAAATAAAAAATAAAATTAAAAAAAATTTGAATGTGTATTCATTTTTGAGAGACAGAGAGAGACACAGAGTGCAAGCGGGGGTGGGGCAGAGAGGGAGGGAGACACAGAATCCGAAGCAGGCTCCAGGCTCTGCGCTGTCAGCACAGAGCCCGACGCGGGCCTCGAACCCACAAACAGCGAGATCGTGACCTGAGCCGAAGTCGGACACTTAACCGACTGAGCCACCCAGGCGCCCCATAGGTGAAAGATTTTTTAAGGAACAAGATGTGCAGGAATCTGGGGACAACAGCTTAGGGAAGTAATCAGACGTAAGATAACCAATAATGGATAGACTGACTTCATGTGCTTCCTTGGTGTCATGCCTCTGAGAAGGGCCCAGGATCTTCTTTGCAGTGTTCCCATCCCAAAAGTTTAACCTAAATCAGACCAAGAGGAAACAACCGGACAAACACAAATTGAGGGACTTCCTGCAAACCAGCTGGCCTGGGTGTTTTGAAAATGTTAATATCAGCAGAGCCAGAGGCAAACACAACACAAAACAAAAGGCTGAGAACTGTTGAAGACTGAAGGAGGCTCAACCACTAACTGCCCCTGGTGACCCTTGATTAATTCCTGGATGAAAACTACCTACAAAGAGCCCTATTACGGCTAGTAGGACAATGAGGGGAATCCAGATTATGGAATGCGTATCAGATAATAATATTGAGTAGATCTGCCATTTCCAGAATGCAGTCACAGTATCGTGGTCACGTAGAAGGAGCTGCATGCCGGACGATGTCACCACCTCCGAAGCGAGAGCAGATACATGAATAAGGAGGGACAGAGAGAAAGAGAGAGAAAGCGCATGTCGCAGAATGTTAACATTTGGTAAAAAAACATGGGTATTCATTATACTGTTCTTGAAACGTGTCTATAGATTTGAAATGTGCCCACGCGAAGATGTGTTTAAAAACCGGACACGCGGCTCCCCTCTCTGGGCCTCGCTTTCCCCTCTGTGAAATGGGCACGAGTCCGATCGCCCCGAGCCCTGCCATGCCGAGTGGATGATCAGATCCTTATCTCTGGGAGACAGAAAGTGACAGAAAGTCCCTGCCCCAGAGATAGCGATCTCTTGGGCAAGGTGCTGGGGGGGTTCCTCCAAAAATGTTTACAGGCTGACATTTCCCGTCCGATGATCATTTGTGTACCTGGACTGGAACAGGACCTGGTTGAGTTGTTCGTGAAGGTTCAGCCCAGAATCGCCCGTGAGAGAGAGAAGACCCAGGCACCCGTGGCCTTCTCCCAGACAGTGCAGTTTCTCATGAAAAAAAAAAACAAAAAAAAAAGCCCTC